CATCATCATCTCTCATCATCATCTCTCATCATCATCTCTCATCATCATCTCTCATCATCATCTCTCATCATCATCTCTCATCATCATCTCTCATCTCACCCAGATTTTAACATATTTCCTTTTCCATACTTTCATATTTCAACACACCCACTAATGTGTTCAGAATATTGTAAACCTATTAACATCGACACTGTAGTCCTTATTATAAATGTTTTCTTAAAAATTCTTTAAATGCTCTACTTCACATTTCAAAGCGCTGTTCACATTTGAAACATGTAACTATAGGCAACATAACAGTGGGCAGGGTGAAGTGGACGAGACCCACAGGCTGAGGTGTAACCTAAATGCGTTCGAGCGTTGCGTGAGTGAGCAGGGAGCAGTTTCGCTGATGGCACGCTCTCTGCTGCTCATAATGTGCGATTAAAAAAGTGCCGCACAAATGGAAATGAATACAAAACGAATTAGTTTGTGTCAACTTTTGTGTTAGTGTGGCCTGCACAACGCCTCAGACAATGCCCTGCGCTTTGTCAAAGAGAACTTCCTGGCAGATGACAGTGTGCGAGCAGTTGGAAGGAACCTGACCATGGTGTCTGCTGAAAACACCTACAGCCACCTGACTGTCCAGAGGGTCCAGGCAGCCAACGGCAAACACTACACTGTCCTGTTTCTGCTTACAGGTAGGACTGCAGGCAGAGCAGTAAAATACACAACTAACACATTTCAAAGGCTGAACTCTTCCACGACTACCAGGCTGACACCTCACAGTACAGGTTATATCCTCTCAGCACTTCTTCTTGAATAGTTTTATGTTATTAATGATTTCTTTTCTGTTTCAGAGTCTGGTTACTTGCATAAAGCAGTGCTGCTACTCAGAGGGGCCCATATCATCGAGGAGATTCAGGTCTTTGAGCAGCCTCAGCCTGTCAGGAGCCTGAAGCTCTCCATACCCAAGGTGCACGCTGCTGCTGACCTTTGGTAGACTATTGGAGGCAATGGAGACAAAGACGTGGCAATGACCATAGAGAGTTCCTGTGTGCTGCTTTGAGGGTTAATTATTTATGTATTATTATTTAGCTCCAAGCTACACTGCTAAATAAAGTAAAGGAACACGTAGGAAACCCATCTCAAGGTCATGCTGGACGTTCATACTGATATGGACCGACGGACACGTCAGGGACAAAAGGATGTCACATTGTTGGATGCAAATGAATTCAAAGACACACTGAAAGATCAAAATGAAACTAATGATATGGCAGACTGGTCCATTTTGCCCAGATTCCATTGCAGCAACTCAAAGTAGAGCTCAGTCCTTTGTATGTTCCCCACGTGCCTTCTATGCCTGACAGCATCAGGGGAATCTCCCAGTGAGACAGCAGATAGCCTCGTGGGGAATCACCTCTCTGAGCTCAGGGACAGTCGGAGGTGCAAACTGGCAGCATCGAATGGGACGTGACATAATGTCGCAGAGGTTTACCGTGCACTCGGTTCAGTTATCTATTATTTTTATGAACATGCTGGAGTCCTTAACTGATCAATTTGCAAGTCTGGGTAAAAAGTAGACTTGATCTCTGTGTTGTTCCAGATGTTCTGCAGGTAAACCGTTTGAACTCAGTTTTGCAAACTAGATAAAGTTTCTCCATCACAGTGAAGCAGGATGATGTCATTGCGACAGAGTACTATACAGACATGTCTGAAGGCTTATTCTGTCCCACTGCAGGGAGTGATTTATATCGGCACGTCGGAGGGCGTGGTGAAGGTCCCGACAGCTAACTGTTCTTTTTACTGGACCTGTGCTCAGTGTGTTCTGGCCCGAGATCCCTTCTGTGGTTGGGATCCTGCCAGTAGGGTCTGTGTGATGGTCTCTACAACAAACACTAACCTGTGAGTAACACTACATTTTTATTATGATTAATACGTTCAGCACACACGATCTGCTCACGTTTTTATTATGAAACACAAGGTTGCACAATGAAACTACATCAGCTGAGGAAGGAGTCGGTAATACCAAACTGTGCAAAGCTAGTCAACTTTTATTCTTGACCTTGTAGCTTTTGAGCTGGTAGCACAGCTTTGTTTAAATGAATCATTTACAGGCGCGACCACACATCTGGATACTCCAGGTGGGATTATACAACATCCATGTAGGAATTTCCTCCCTCTCGGTCAATGTTTAATGGTCTTGTTCTTATCTACTTGGCACCTTTCTATTCTTCCTGAGCACTCAAAGCGCTCCGTGCAACTTTTTCCTCTGTGAAAGTGTGTTGTAACATTCACACACATCATACTTGGGTTTGTACCTTGCCCAAGGATATTTGGCAGATTGAAGCAGCCAGGGATCAAACCACCAACCTTCCAATTAATAGATGACTGCTTTGTTTTTACTTCTGGTTTGAGGATTGGTCATCAGTGGGGAATCTGTGGAACCTAGTGCCCACCTTCTCTGTTAATGGTTTCCCTCCTCAGAGGCCAGGACATAGAAAGAGGGAACGCTGAAGAGGCATGCAGCAGTGTTTCATTAAACCACAAGAGCAGATTTGGTCCAAACAAACTGCCTGCAGGTGAGTATAACATCTTTTTAATATCCATTTTAGTCTGAAGATTAAATGGAGGAGAAAAGTCTAAAAGGAATGAAATAAATCATGAAAAGTCACACGTCTGAGCTTTTGTGTGGGCTGTGAGTCAAACATATAAAACATGAATTTGCTTTATTTAACTTTTACTTTTCTAATTTAGACATGATTGTGTGAAGTTCAGATTTTTCCAATAGATTCTTGTTTAGAAGCACGGTCATTGTTCTTAGTTTCTGTGATATCCAAACACCTGTTTCTGATGCAAACTATAATCTGTATGTCAGCCTCGTGTCCTCCAGGCGAGCTGGTGTCTGTGTCTCTGAACGAAGTCGTGCGGCTGCAGTGTCCTGCTGCATCACGACTGTCTCAGCAGCTCTGGGAGCGTCCCAACAGTCGGCTGTCCTCAGACTTGTATCTGAACTTGGAGGATGGGAGTCTGAGCTTTGTGGCCACCCCTGCCACACTGGGCCACTACCTCTGCCTGTCCACTGAAAATGGCTACCAACAGACTATGGCCATCTATCATGTCAAGCAGAAGACCAGCCCTCTGTCTCAAACTCCAACCAGCGACACCCAGCCTCGGACAAATGCGATACCCACAACACAATCTATGGCCAAGCCGGGATCTGGACTCCACATATCTGTAGGAACAGAAACGCACCAAGGAGAGTCTAAGACAACGCCATCCAACAGGAACACTCAAGTCACCACCAGACAGCTGGGCAAAAACCTGACCTCATGGACAAAGCAGCCTCGACAGAGAGAATTAGAGCTCCGGGATGGGGAAGCGCTGCTGGCCGCCCAAGCCCCATGCTATTTAAAGGAGCTGGTAATTGTGTCACTTTTACTAGTGCTGTCCCTCAGTTTGTTAATCACCATATTTCTGTTTGTCATCACACAGCGCTGCAACCACAGAACAGCCCCACAAGCAGCAACCATAGACTCTGACAGAAGGACCCCTGTAGAGCAGGAGGCCCGAAGGGCGAATGTGTTTCTGAGCAAAAGGAATGAACAAGGACAGCAAAGTGGACATGGCAGCGAGTTGGTTTGTAACGCTGCGCTTTCAGGTTCTAATGGACATTTGCCTAACACCCCCATCTAAACAGAGGTACAGTGTTACAGATGAAAAAGTCACGTGGCACTCAAAGACTCCTGATCTATGGGAAGTCTTTGGCAACAGGAGGAAAAGGTTTTTAAAACTTTATTTGAAGGGCGAGGAAGTAACACAAACCATTTAAAGTGGTTTTCATGGGATTTGACTTATTATTCTATACATGCAGTTTTAATGTCCTGGTGTACATTGAGATTACAGCTCAGTTTAGGTCACAAATAAGGTCCCATATGCAACTGAAAGTGGCTGCTGAGGGGGGCCATCCTAATCGGTAAGATCTGTGATCGTACTAATAAATCAAAGAACTGTGCGTGGGATCACTTTTCTCAGACGGCCATTTACTGGCAGCATTTGTGAGTATTGTTGTGGTGGAATAAGAGGCGCGGGGACATGAATGTCTCACAAATATAAAGCTTCAACCATTACACCTAAGTGCCAGACCCTTACTCGAACCCTCAAACAGGCCTTTGAAGGGTTGTGAAAAATGTCTTCCACAGTGTCATTGCTGTGATCTCAAATAGCCGGACAGCAACACACAACAAGACTGTAAAATTACACAATTGCGCCTGTTCTGCACAGCTACATTTGGAACAGGCGCAATTGCTGTATAACCGTGTGTGTTGTAACTGCCCAGTCTTTTTCACAGCTCGAACTGGTGTATTGATGGAGATCCAACATTTGTCACACTTGGTACTGGACCCGCTGAGGTCCCAGTTCTGATAACTGACTTGTCTGTAACACTTTCACTGCTGATTGCCTGAAGCTGACACGCTTTTGTGTGGAAATAACTGGAATAAAGTTTGCACATGATTCTAAAAAGACGGATTTAGCAGCTGTTTCTGGCAGCCGTAGCTTTGGTGCTCAGTGATTGTGTTCTCCTAAACTGTAACATTTAGGTATTTGTAAGTAGTGGTGACAAAAACCTGGTTAAAATCTCTCTGAACAGGAGCACTGATCCAATGAAAAGCATAACTGTTGATTAGCTGTGACGTGTTGGTTCTGAATGTTCTGGTTGGTCGTCATATTATAGCTGGTTATGTTCTGACTATTCTGTTCTCTCTTGATAGCTTCATTTGGTAAAAGGTACAGTTCTGTCCAATGCAGCTGCTTCTTTAAATATTTTTATAGATTAGTCAAATGCAACACCAGTAACTGCCACAGTCGGCCAGTTGTACAGTTGTATGCACCTTTTAGAACAAGAAATCATTTGTTTCCATATATTACATTTTGATCAAAATGTGTAAGGATCAGAAAATGTATCTAAAGACGTGTGTGCGCATGTGTGCGTGCGTGTTCACATAACTTTGTAGCACATGGTCAGGGTGAGTCAGCCAAGTTTCTTTTCTTGTGTGACAAAACAAAGTGAATGTGCCTTTGCTACATGTTATGTGACGATCCTGTGGAGCTGTTTGTACTTCTCACCATTTGGACACGTCAATAAAAAAATCATCCACAACTGTAATAAAGACTCAACATATTTATATTCACTTCAATAAACAGGTTTCTGAAATGTTACAATATATAAAAAACCATCACATTTTGTTTTATGTCTTCTCAATTTTTTAACGACTTTGGAAATCCGTCTGCTCTGCCATCGTTCAAGTCCTCTCAGGACGCTTTTGTACAGCACTCAATGAACTTCTGTTAACCTCTAAGTAAACTACACAATTCACTAATAAAACCACCTTTCGCAGCATTAACTTGAACTTGAAGTCTTTCACGTTGCTGTGGAGGAATTTTGTCCCACTGCTTTACAGGGTTCCTTCGGTTCATTCATCCATAGTGTCTTTAAGGTCCTGCCACAGCATGTCATTCAGATTGGTTTGCTTGTATATTTACTGTTGTGCTTGGGATCATTGTCCTGCTGGGTGATCCAATTTAGGCAAAGCTTTAGCTTCTCAGAAAGATGGACTCACATTTGGTTTAGAATGCTTTAGTATATAGAGAAGGTGCCCAGGTCCTTTGGCTGCCCTCCACCATCATGTGTGACACTTGGTGAGAGATGTTTGTGCTGAAATGCTGTTTGGTTCTCACCACACGTGATGCTGTACATTAATGATAAACATCTCCACTTAGTTCTTTGGACAAACAGGAAGTAAACTGGTTTGTTTAGATCCAACTTTTCAAACCTAAGCTGGCATATTCTTGGTTTGGTCACGTTTTCTTCAACAAACTTTGAGTTTCTCTCCCGACTGTTTCCATCCTGCTGTGTCTGAGCCAACTGACTGACATGTTTCATTTCCACGTTCATAAAGCTGCTATTGAACCTCACAGCAGAAGGAATTGGTTTATTTTTATTAACACTTTATTACCAATTCAAGATTCGTTTTGTAGCACCGTTTTTCTCTCGATGCCCAATGGTTTGTCAGAATTGCTCTGAAGCAGATGGGAAGTCTTTTTCGACGGCCTCTCCAAACTCACATGCTGGAATTCTTGTTTCAACCACCACCTGGGCTGCATTTCGCTTGGCCTGCTGATACGTGTCAGCTGCTTCTGAGAGGCTACCCCTCTGCCAGGGCGTTCCCAGTACACCCCATGTTTAGGTGTGCTAAGCCTGTCCTGCATCCTCCCCTGCCGTGTCCCCCCTTCCTTACTAAAGAGGTGATGTTGTATGTCTCAATAGCAGGGATTGGTCCATCAGTGCTCTTCCTTTAACCGCAATCAGACACACGATGCACCCAACCCTAACACCACCTCCTTCTGGTGGTGGGCCTACAGTGACCATGCAGCTTCTGCAGGCTGCACCTGGCCAGGCCCCATGGGCTAAAGCCAGAGGGCCAGGCACTCTCCATTGCACTCCCTCTCCAGGCCTGGCTCCAGGTAGGACCCCGGTAACCCTTTCCCAAGCAGGGACACAGGTAAGTAAGTAAAGTGTATTTACATACACCGACCTGAAGACAGAAAAGGTCATGAAGTTTTGTTACTCGTGGGAGTCCATTGAATCACTCATTGTCTGCCCCATCACCCAGGACCTATTTGTCTTGGGAGACCCTCGTCAACATAGCCTCTGAGATCACGGGGCACATAAACCCTTCTACCTAAATAAGTTAGCAATTCCCGAAGGAAAAAGTGGCGTTTTACTCACATGGGGTATAGTGGGGGTGGGGTACTGCTGACATCAACTGGGGACATTGTTGGGCAGTGGAAGAAGTATTTTGAGGACCTCTTCAACACCACTAACACGTCTTCTGTAGAGGAGAAACAGTCTGAGGATGAGGAGAACAACTTGCTCATCTGTAGGGACGAGGTCACTAAGGCTGTTAATCTTCCTCTTGTGTTCCCCTTGTTGCATAGATCATGGTAATAGTCCTGGCACTACACAGTGTATACTATATTTCTCTGAGTGTGCTGGGGACCCCGTGCTTGGGGTGGACCAGTTTGGTTGTTTGAAAGCCACAGATGCGTCTCAGCTGTTCTGATTCTCCTGACATATATAAGGCATCACTACGGGTTTTCTCTTAGGCAGCGGTTGTCCTTCTCTCCTGGATCGGCTGGAGCTTTCAGTCCAGCTGGGATAACCACATTTACTCAGGGCCTTCTTGATGTTCTTCTGCCTCCCTGGCTGCTGTGTCTGTGGGGATGATGTTCGCTCTGTGTTGTAGCGTCCTGATGACACCCAGTTTGTGCTCCAATGGATGGCAACCTGATCCGTATGCACTGGTTTACGGTACACGTCGACTTTAAATGTCCCCCATTACTGACGGGAATTTCACAGGCTATCCTCCATGGTGAACTTGATGTGTTTGTCCACTGAGATAATGTGATCAGGGGATTTCGGTACATCCTGAGATTTGATTAAAATGTCTTAAGGAGTGGAAAAGTTATTTTGAATTTAATGGCAGGGATATGCCAGACAGAGCCATGTTTACCAACGTAAGCACTTTGGTGTACCTTCGGTTTTAAATGTGCTATATAAGTAAAGTTGTATTGTAACGTGTGTCATCTTCTCTTCTTCAGCAGCTTATAAACATCTGGAAACTGAAGAGCCCAGTTGCTGGACTTTGTTGTAGAATGTGAGAACTTGTAGAATAAAAGTTGAGAATGTGTCGTTTTTAATTTACAGTTACAGAAAAAAGTATGAAAGTACTGAGGAAGACTCTTTGAAGGAAACTTACCATGGCTCCCTGTGGTTGTCAGTCCAGCATGACCTCTTGGTCTTCTGCCTTCTGATTGGCTGACCTCCACTTCTCCAGTTCCTTGAACGTCCCCATTGTTCTGAGTACTGGACAGTCAGAGTGCTGTCACACGAGTAATTCTTATGTTGGCAAAGAGAAAGTACCACTTATAAACAATTCCGATCATTAACGAGAAGTTAATGGCCTTGTAAAGTTAAAAGGCACTGTAGACCCTTCAGCACGACCCTTTAAAAAAAGCGAGTGTATATATACATGTTTGAGTTTGTATGCATAATTTGGACCCTGTTCGAATTAAAGAAAGTCTAAAATAAATTCAAACTTGTGCACACATTTCCTGTTTTTTAATGTCATTAATAATGTATGCTGTACAATCTTTCCACCCTGGAAAAAAAAACACAAGAAACAAAGAAATCACTAAGTAGATTTTTTTTTTGTTTGAAGTTTTAAATCAGCAAACAAATGTTACTATCAGACAGATAACCCAGGTAAGTACAAAAGGCAGTTTTAAAATTTTATTTTTTTCATTTATTAACGGGAAAAGCTGCACGTGCCTTGGTATAAAAAAAGTGATTGACCCCTGAACTTAATAACTGGTTGAGCCACTGTTGGCAGTCACAGCAGCACAGGAACAGAGCAGGAGGGAGGAGACAGCCAGGAGCACCAGCAAGAGACAGCATGGACACTTTAGAAAGGTACAGTAAAGAAAATAAGTGACACCAAGAAAAGAAGTAAAATCTTTAACCATTTCAATTATATTAACAATACAAAGGCAGAGTGTAGAGTCTGCAAGAAAAGGATATCATACAGAGCCGGCTCCACATACAGCCTGCACAGCAGCCTGAGAACTGTCCACCTATCAGTGCAATGGGAAGATAAAACACAGTTGAGTGGGTTATTAATGAAGGTGCCAGTGTGTCTACTGCAACTGCTGCTGCTTCACCTACAGCATCATGCAGTACACCACCACGAGCACCTAAACAACCCAGAGCTCTATGAGACGGTTTTTGCAGAAGTCTGTGACCCAGCAAGACAGAACTCAAGTCATGAAGGATTGGCAAAAATGACTGCTCTTAATTTCCAACCATTTTCAGTTGTGGATGATAAAGTTTTCAGGAAGTTTATTCATGCACTAAATCTTATTTTATATTGTTGTTGATAATAAATTAATTAAAGCAACAAAACAACCTGAAGTGCCGCTTGGGAGCCGAAAGAGCCGGCTCTTTTTAGTGAGTCGAGCCGAAAGAGTATGTTCTCTAAAAAGAGCCGGAAATCCCATCACTGCATCACAAATTATTTTTCTCAGAACTGTTTGGGATGTTTTTTGGTAAATCTCAGATGAGCTGTGTGTTCTTTCCGGTTCTTGCTTCAGTAATAACATCCGAAACAAAATAATAACCGGTTATATCTACTGTTACTTTTATTGCTAACTTTAATATCTTACATCTGCCACTGACGTTACTCTGGCAAAATCTCGTAGATGGCGACATTAAGTCTTTAACACTTCAGCACAACTTCAAATTTGTTTTTACGACCGAGCGCAGACGTCAAGAACGACGGAAAGACGGTTCTTGAAGGTTCGCTGGTGTTCATATTAAAGGTGCAGTAACGGGACAGCCTGCTAACGGTTCCTCTGCCTGAATTCGTGCATGTGAAACGCATGACACAGCATCAGTCTCCTGCAGGGGCAGGATACACCCGAACACACCCCGCTGCAGTCTGCAGAGCATCCGCACTCACGGCAGGCTTGGTGCTCTCCTAAAGCTGCTCAGTATCTTCTGGAAAAACGCGACACAGCTCAGGTAAGATCGTTCACTGCAGTCATCGTTTGGTTATGGACACTGCAGGTTTTTATTTTTCTCATTTTGTTTCTTTGTTCTTCCCCTTTCTTTTTTTTCTTCGTCTTCATAAATATATAGATATATGTACATCAGTGTGAGTTAAACACTGTGATGTGTGGGAATGTCCAAAAACTAGGCAGTGTGATGTTATTCTCATGTTGTGGTGCAGCGGTGCCAGATCTGACTGCGGTCCTGCGCAGCTCTGGTTTATTTTTAACTGCAGAAACATCATCATCAGCGTCTCTGTAGGCTACACATGCATTCATACGTTCTGGCTCATTCGTACAATAATTTAAAGGCTCGATCTGGAAAATGAGTCAGCACATGAATCATTACGTTAATCGCAGATTTGCAGTCTGCCAGTAGCTGCATCGCTCCTTTGCTGATCCATCAGTGTTATTACTGCTAAAAGTCGAGCCTGTGACCTTGACAGAGACAGTCTGGAGACATTTTAGTTTTATACAGGGGACAGGTTCACTGATCTTATAGTGGAAACAGTAAAGACTTGATGATTTCTTGATGTACCCTAAATTTACTAATA